CTATGGATCCGAGGATGGAAAGGAGTGCTTTTATACCCCGATAGTTACAGATCACAAGGACTGCATAAGTCTAACGAGGGTAAGGTGTCCAAAGATTGAATCGGCGACGAAGGATGCTGCGTCACAGTGATGCAATGACTCCTTACGCAATTTTTAACAAAAAAAACAATAAATCATTATGTAACAACTCATAATATGACATCGCATAACTGCACATTCGCAGTTCGGTACCTTTTGCAGAACTCCTAGAATGTCGTCTCCTTAAAAAAGCCTGTAAGTAAGAATCAGTGCGACATATCCAGATCACGATATTTGCAGAACCTAAAAAACTTTTCAAAATAAAGAAAAAAACCATACTTTTTGCTGATATTCCTCCAATATTTGTTTGAATTCTGGATTAACTTTCAAAAAATACTGTAGTTGCTCTTGCTCGGTCATTTTACTTATATCAGGCAACTCGCTGAGGTCACAAACAGTATCTTCCTCCGGTGCCACCACTTCATCCTAATCATATATTTCATAGTAAAGGTATTCGACATCAACTGGCCATTAAAAGGATAAACTTATAAACCAACCTAAATTAAAAGGAAACCTAATATTTCATAGTTTTTATGTAACATTTCTCCACTTACAGTCAGCCACTTCCGTACACCCTTTCCATATCCTTTCCTTATTTTTCTCTTATCTTTTACTTTTTCTCATTTTAGCTCCATTTCCCAACAACTTTTTCATGGAGTATCTGTCTGGCGCCATTTTCCAGTTTGCCGGAAAAGCCCACATTCCTTAGCTTCCAGGGATAGTACCAATCCTTACTTAAAGACCCCTTTCTATCACTCTTGGTCTGGCTTCGTCTGATTTCCGGTCTTGGTGCCGTCATCGTCTTTCGTTTCGTCATCGACTCGGGCCTTCGCTCCTGCACCAACATCTTCATTCTAAGCCTATCCTAGGTATAAATAATACTTCCCTATTCGACCAACGCAGTCTTATCACTGTACTGATGATTCCCACTTCATTCCGCACCGCCTCTGCCGTCTGTGTTTACAGCTTAGGGATGAAATACAGACAGGACAATAGCTAACGTACATACAGGCTCGCTTATCTTGGGTATCTGAATTGGCACTTCCTGCTCTCCCACAACTGTCAATATTCGACTGTGTCCTTCTCATTGGCGGGCCGATAGTGCCAAACAAACTATGGATGTTAACAAATAGAAGACTCCAGGCCCCCACTTCTTCCAATCCTCGAGCCAGTGATATTCATAATTTGCATCTTAAAAATTTCTAAAACACTTATTTCTCTCCTCTGATTCCATGGCTGGTCTTCTTGAAAAAAGTCGCACGTAAGTGATTCATAAAGTTAGTTATTTTATCCAATCGTCGCATTCACAACACACACACACACATACATACATACATACATGCATACATTCATACATACATATATACATACGCGCATACATACACATACATACGCACACACACACGCGCGCACACACACACATACGCACATACATACGCGCACACATACACACATATGCACATATGTACGCGCACACACACGCACATATATACGCGCATACACACACATATACATACATACGCGCATACACACACATGCAGACACACGCACGCACGCAGACACATACACTTAACTCGGTGCACCGCACTTTTACTTACTTGAAATTCCATGGGAAGGTGGCCTAGCGTAGCATCCAGTTTTTTCTGCCTCGCAATTGCATCCTCCTCTTCCAGTTCCGCTAATTCAGCTTCATTTTCATTCATACCACCCCAGTCTTCATCCACGTATGATGTGTTGTAAAAATCTCGCCGCTTTTTGCTCCATTTATCCGCTGATGGAAGCACTAAAATCGGCGAGTTATTAATATCAAATTAGATCTTCTATTTCTTCTCTTTTTTGTCTGTTTTTATCTTAAATAATTTCTATACTACATTAAACCATCTAAATTAGTTTGTCACTACAATCGTCGTACTGACGAGGTCCAGCTGTGGTAACGGTAAGAAATGTATACGACTTAATGGACCGAAACATTTCTTACTTATTGCAAATATTCCCATAGTCCTCTTTCCCTTCTTATTTCACTTTATCTTCGTCTTCTTCCCTTCATCATCTTTTCTACTTCATTATTTTCTCTTCACCCTTTAAAAGATTACAGCAAAGAACAAATAAATTAAAATTGAGATTTTCCTGTAAAAGCTTCGGAATGCATTGTTAGACAGAAATAAATATTTTTAAATTGGCTAATTTTAGGAAAAAAACGGTATTTGTGAATTAGATATTCGGAAGACAAAAAAAAGAGGAAAAGCATGAGAGGCGGGGCAGCGAGGAGGTGGGAGAGGAAGGGGGAGGGGAAGGAGGGGATTCCTGTAAAAGCTTAGAAAGAAAGCTTCCGAATACACTGCTGGATAGAATTAAACATTTTGAAACTGGCTATTTTTAGGAAAAAACGGTTTTTTCGAATCAAACATTCGGAAAAAGACAGAAAAAAGAGGAAAAACATGGACGGCGGGGCAAGGTGGGTGGGGGGCAGGGGGAGGGGGGAATCAGACAGGAATCGGATGTAAAATCAGAACTAGGATTCATAATTCGGTAACGTCTGCGAGAATCAACCCCTTTACAAGGCACTAATTGCTGCATAAAAAAAGTTTTTGAAAAATTCTCAGAAATTCTACGCAAGCTAAAAATCAGAATAAAGATCCGAACTAAAAAAATTCCGAATTCCAGATCAAAATGAGATTAAAAGGGGATGAAAATAACAAAAAACACCAGAACAAAATCACGCAGACGGAGAAGTCTAAGACGTTTTAGAACGAATACAGTAAAAGTGCCCGTTTTCGAGTGACTACAGGAAAAAAGCCCAGGCCGGGATGCACCAGACTAGCCGTTGCGATTATATGTTTTTGTACCAAACTTGAAGTACTCAGGTCGTTAACTGCATGAATGGTTGTTGCTTTACATCTACCTTTTGCGACCTCTAAAGTAAATCATCGTGAATTTTGCATAAAGGAAATGAATAATTTCCGCTTAAATGATCGTTCTTTGAAAATAACCTAGCTGTTCAGTAAGCAATTTTACCGCCAAAACTCCCAAAATTTCAGCCTTCCAGCTTTTCTACATACCGGCTAAGCAGTTTCCCCGCCAAAAATTTCACATGCCCGTACGTGGATACCCTACGTATCTGGAAAGCCGGATTTGAAACTTTTAAATTGCACGCGGACAGGGAACATCACTCTAAAATTTCCGCCTTCCCGCTCTTCTGGTTGCCGAGTTAGTAATTTTCCTGCAGAAACTTTCATACGCCCTTACGTGAGTTAATACGCATAGCTTGGGGCTGAATTTGAAATACTCAAGTTGTACCTGGACAGGAAACATTTCCCTAAAATTTCAACTTTCTAGCTTTTCTGGTTCTCCAGCTGAAAATGGGTGACAAAAAGTGCGCACACACAGACGGAACTCCTTGACAATATGAGTTTTTACATTGCACAGATGCAAAAAAAGCATAAAAACGAATAAGTTCTTACATTTCTTGAGGCTGAGTTTGAAATATTTAAGTTGTACTTGGACAAGGAACATTCTCCTAAAATTTCAACTTTCTAGCTTTTCTAGTTCTCGAGTTGAAATTGGGTGACAAAAAGTGCGCATACACAGACAACTAACTCCTTGACAATATGAGTTTTTGCATTGCATAGATGCGAAAAAAAAAATGCATAAAAACGAATAAGTTCTTACATTTTTCGATATTATCATCATCATCATCGTTGTCAGAATCGGAATCCGAAAAAGCTCCGCTGCTGCTGCTCGCATCGTCATCATCATCGTTGTTATCAGGCTCGGATGAATCACCTTCAACGTTAAGCACCTCTTCCGGACGACGGGGCTTTCGTTGCCGGGCATGTTGGCGCTCCTCATCCGACGACATATCCAATGTCATGTGGTGTTGATCAATCTCATCGTACACATCGCTAGCATCCTCGTCCGATTCCATTTTCAGCCTAAAAATCGAGCAAATCCAGAGCAACAGCAATATCGCGACCATAATTGTTAGCCTATTATACTAGTGTGTGCCCCGTTTGTATGAGTGTGTAAAACGTCGCGTCCTATATACATATTTATTAATAAAGCGAGAATACATGTTAAACGAGAATACAAATAAACGAGGTAAGGCTCCGGGGAGCCGAAGCTCGCCCAGAATAAGAGTATTGGTTAAATAGAAGAAATAGGTCGCAGGTAAAATAGAAGTACTAGATACGTAAAACAAAACGAAGATTCCGGCGATGGGGAGGAGTGCTTTTATACCCCAAGGGACAAAGATCGAAAGTTTAATGAGGGTAGGGTAGTCGAAGTTTGAGCTAGGGACAGGGTACTGCGTCATAGTAACGCAATTGATCGCTAATCTATTTTTAACAAAAACCATTAATCATTATTTGATATATTACGCGATAATAACTTCCAGCCCCTAAATGCAACTTATACTGTCTGTATGTTTACAGCTAAGGGATGAAACACAGGAAGACCACTCCTTACAAATTCCTCTCCACATGACTTTTCAAGAAGTCATACGATTTTGTGCCACATGAACAGCCCTACCATCTTTTCCATCATAATTTATTAAACTAACCCTACCCCAAGTGAAAATTTTCAGACCGTGCCCGTTCCGCATTTTCCAAGCTTCGGACCGTCCGCTTTCAGAGATTACGGCTCGGCCCGGCCATAGGCCGCAAATTATTTTAACAATCTTATCCCACCCCTCAAATTTTAACTTTCTGACTCCGGCCGTTCCACATTTTGATTTCGTTGGGCCATCCACTTCTTTTAAGGCTATGATTCGGCCTTCTAATGGTCACAGTTTATCATCTCAGCAATCGCACGTGCATGTAGATTAAGTTTCCAAAGTTTCAACCCTGTAGTTTTTATGGGTCTTG